TAATAATAATAATAATAATAATAATAATAATAATAATAATAATAATAATAATAATATAAAATAATAAATATATAAAAATATTCAGATATATATAGAATTATAATTTAGATATTTTATATTATAATTTAAGATTGATTCTTGAATCAGCTTAAAATATTATTTAAATATCTATATAATTAAATTGCTAATAAATTTTATTCTGACTATTCAAAACTATTCAAAAATTAACTCTAATTATAATTCATCATAATTTATAACAGATTTTTTCCTGTAAAAATTAGATATTACAGTAATTATTACATATAAATATACTTTTTATTTTCAAAAATTTATAGAAATATTTTTCTTATAGAGATACTTTGTTTATTTATATTAGTAATTTATTAATTATATAAACTATTTTAATATTAAACTTTCAACATTCTTAATATTATATAAATATTTTAATAAGTTTTTTTGTATTGAATTTATAATAAATATTGATATCTCTTTGAAAATAATAATAAATAATATACGTGTTGCAAATAGCAAAAGTGAGTTATGTTTTGTAATAAAAAAATTGCTAAAATCAGAATACGTGCATGCAATCAGAAATTCTTCTTTCTCTTGATATCATAATATTCAACTCCCTCTGTAATTTAAAAAAGATGTCTCTAAAAACTGATATTCAGATGCAGCTACTGATTCACTTTTATGTTAAAAATTTGCGAACTGAATAATCTAATAGAAAAAGACAAAATGGTTACTATTTTAAGTTATTGACATTTTACATTATGTTAGTTTCTTATGTTCTTTATACCATTTTGTTCGAAATGCTACAATTTTAAGGAACTTTATGTGAAAAATATCAATTTGTTAAATTGGGAAGGGAAAATCATGTGAAAAATTTTTCTGTGTACGTATTTCTTTCCTCTGATCCTTCATTAATACAATAAAAATGAGGTCATTGTGCTGGAGTCATCCCACCATCGAAACGAATTATTTTCGGCAGAAACTAAGAGTGGCGTTTATTTTCACCGCAGCAACAAACAAACCGCAGTCTAAAAGATTTATGACGTCAGATCCTTTAATATTAATAATCACATGTATATTGTTTTAACGTTAGTAAGATCTAAAAATAAGTATAAAAAAGATCAGGAAAATTTTTGACAATTGCAGTTACAAATGGGAAATATTTTTTATGTTTTCCATCAAAAACAAGACGTGGAAATGGACAATGATAACAACAAAGAAATGGTGGCGAATACCGGTAATAAAATATTATTAAGTGAGATAACACATAATGGCGAGGGAGAACACAAAGCGAAAATAGAAGTTAAAACTTCAACTAAAGATCCGAAAAAACTGGAGTTGGAAGTTCGTACCAAAGACAACGAAAGTGAGTCAAGAGTTTCCGAAATTGCTGAAAATTTTTCAGTACACTTAGATGAAGGAGAGAATCCTGAATTGGTTATGCAGTTCGAACAACGCTCAAGCGGAGAAATCAATATAGACGATGTTTTGGAAGATATACAACATCCGACATTAATTACTGAACCACCGAGCGCAGCAGCATCGCCACCACAAATAACAGAAGTTCCAGCTGAAGAAACTATTGATATCGTGGAACTAAATGAAGAACAACAATCAACAACTGAAGTTACGCAAGAACAACAAGTCGAAACAACTTCTGTTAAAATTGAAGAATTTGCAGAAGCCGTCCAAGAAAGTGCGAATAACATCTTTTCAATGGAAATTGATACAGAAGATATTTCAGCTCCTCTACAAGAAAATGTTTTTCCGGCCCCAGAAAAAAGTAAAAATTTGTATTTAAAATTGAATGCTCTTAATTTGTTAATTTGTGAAATACTCATAATAAGTTCATTTATTAGAAACTACTTTAGACGTAATGGAAATTGTTCCACGGGAAGTTGAACGAGCTTCCACTGCAACTTTAATTAATGAGGGAATCGTTCCTGTTAGCGAGAAAATTCAATCCCATCGAGAGATATCAAAAAAAATTACAGAAGAGCCCAATAATTTACAATTATCGCAACCAATAATTATCATTGATTATAAGAATATTGAAGAACTAGAAGCTAAATGTGTAAATCTACCTGAAAAAATTAAGGTAGCAGCCAAAAAGAGGTATGCATCTATGTATTCGTTATCTTAATACTTTGATAATTTGATATTTTAACTGAGTTTTTATAATAGAGGAAGAAAACCAAGGATCCACGCAAAAGCCACTCGTAAACCGAAAGAAAAAGACGTTGAGGAAAATACGGCGATTATCAAGCCTCCAGCAAAGAGGCGTCGGGCAAGAACAAAAAAAAATCGCTCACAAAAAAGACGAAAAATCATAAAGAGCGTGCTGAAGGTTGAGAATGCCGTTGATGAAGAAAAAATTGCAATACAAGAAGAAAAAGTTGAGAAAGAAAAAGCTATCGTAGCACAAGAAGAAAACAGCGAGAAAGTTACTGTAACACAAGAAAACATCGAGAAAGAAAAAGATATTGTTACACAAGAAGAAAAGAACGAGGACGCAAAAGTTACTGTTACACAAGAAGAAAAGAACGAGAAAGAAAAAGTTGTCACTCCAGCTCCTGAAGAAAAAGCCGCAATTGAAACTGAAAAAACGACGGAGCACCCTTCTCGAGAGCAACTTGTCTTAGAGGTGCCTCAAGAAACTACTCAAAAACATATTGATAAGCTCGCTGTTAAAGAAAACGAACTCACACTTCCGGAAACAGTATATTCCAAAGAGCTATACTTTGAAATTCCAATTCATCAATCTTCACAAGAATTTATTACTGAATTTTCTACGACTGTAAATACTATACAAGGCAATAACACATCATCTCAAAGATCTGTGACCACTCAAACAGAAAATTCAAGAATTATCACACACAGGTATCAAGGACAAGTGAAGATGCAAACGAGCGATGAAAATAGATGTGATATCAAAGAAGATTTACTAATTTCAATTGAAGCTGAGACACCCACAAGTCAATCTTCGCTATCACCGAGCAAATTTTCTTCGCACACAAAAATTTTGTTACGTAAAAAGCAAATTCAAAGGTAAATATCAATTTTTAGATTTTCTAGTAATCCAGAAGTCGAGCATAATGACAAAGAATATTCTCAGAACTATTGTTAAATACGTGTATGTTGCAATTTTTTCCAATATACATTTATAGCTAAGTTACAGTATTAGATATATTATGTGCATATTAATAAAATAGCGATTTATCTCTACGTTAACAAACTTAAAATTTTGTTAATATTACTATGCAGCATTGTCAAAATATTTCATGTAGGATATAAGATCAGAACCAGTTAAATAAAAAAAATATAAAAAATAAAGAAAAGCTTGAGAATGAAGAAAATACTTAGTTCGATTCATAGTCTATAACGATAATTTAGCAATTTCTAATTTATTCAATTCAATTATACATCTTTACAATAAATATTGGAAATGTGAAATGATAAGTAACAGTAATGATAAATCTATGATAATATTTTTAATATAATTTCTTAATATTTCCGAATTATTTACTAATTTTTTTAAAATAATAATATAACTTGCAGAATTGGCTGAACTAAATTTAATATAATCAATTGAGATATTTTCTGAAAGGATTGTTCTAATAGTAAAGTTATTGCAAAATTCTTCTAATAATATTTATTTTTAATTATAAAAGTTTTGCAATAACTTATAACTTTATAATTAGAACACTCTTTCAAAAAAATCTAAAAAAATTATAAACTTATTTTTTAATAAAATTAAGCTCTTAATTTTATAATTATAAAATCATTGTACAGTGGCGACCAAAAGCAATGACTCAGGAGCTAAATTTACTAATAAAACATAGTGAAAATTGAAATTTTCTCTCTATATAAAAATTTATAATTTTAATAAGAAATA